TTGAGCATCTCGCGCGTTTGTGCATCGTTACATGACAGGCTCCTCTGAGCTAGTGGCCACGGGTGACAGGTTACGAAGAAGCACGAGCTGATGTTTAATTGAGAACCTTTCGCACTCACGATACAGTCCATGAACAACCACGACTCCTGGAACACGACCTTCGTAGATTTCGCCTAGCTCAAGGTGGAATCGCAAACTGCGGTCCTTCCTTCCAACGCCCGAGGTCACCCGCGCTAAATCCCGACAGGTAGACACATATCCCACTTCTGTTACTGTGAAACATCCTGTTGTACCCTCACATCAATAGTCACAGAGAAAAATGCGAAATAAGCACATAGACGCAATTTGAACAATTCTGTATCACTAATGTAGCTCGCCAGCATGGACATCGAGAGGCCATACATAGAGCATCTTGAACATAGTATGTATTTCAAGCAATGGAGCATACGCAGTGAGCCAAGAGTATGCAATGTTGTACACGCGTCTGTTGGAATACCCTCTGACAGAAGAAGCTTGTGACTGTCGTTGAGACGAACGAACCCTTCTCATACGAGGCACGGGGCTGTTGAGCCCTGCAAATAACGGGTGTGATCCGGCATGGCAACAAATTGTACGCAGGTCCGCTCGTTTTGCACAGACATCCTGTCCCCTGAGAGTTGCTTCAGTTAGAAATCTGCCGTGTGGAGTGACCACTCACTTCTGGAGAACAATCGCCTAATTCTTCACCGAACATGTTGACTGCAGTGGAAGTTCATGCCTCAGCTTGAAGCAAGAAACTCGAATGATTGAGTGTCAAGCCGGCGTCTAAGTGACTTCGCATTTTGCATTGGCCTCCACCTATGCGACCAAAGCATCACGCTCTCCTCAGACTTGACCTCATGTTTCTTCATGAAACTTGAGGTCAACGTTGTAGTTGCGAAGGCTTATCAACGTCATTGAAAAACCTGCGCTTTCGCAGGCTCAAGGACGCCAAAGTTCCAAGGGGCAAGCACCCGCAGCGTGTATGTTCACAAGGCACCCACTTCTGAACTGCGAGACACGTCACCTTACAGGCTATGAAGACTCCAGGTCGCCCAACGACGAGACAGTCCTAAACAAGAGTCAAAGTGATGCCTAGGTCGCAAAGCTCAGGGCTACACGTATGCGCGAGGACTTAGCAGCATCTGCTCGTTGGACGTCATAAACATTCCGATGACGCATGCCCTGTAGCCTGATAGAGCATCAAGCATAACGATTCGCCCAGTCATCTGCCCTCGTGTCGATGTCCAAGACTCGTGGGCGGGTAGGACCTAACTTTGGGTCGCAACCTTGGAAGCTCAATCACAGGGTAAATCCGCCTGGCCATCACTAACACAGCATTAAACTGCTGCTCCGCCAAGAAGGCGATGCAACGAAACGAAGGGGATCTTAGCGAGACATTATTCTGCACAGGCTTGAGGCCGCGTTCGTACGCAGGTCCCGGATACAAGCCTAGTCTCCCACAAGGTCGCCTTCGATTGTAGGTATCGCCTTGGATTGTAGGTGTGTCGCCAGTCTCAGTGCAAATTCAATGAAGAAATTTTCTGATGAGATGTTCTTTCTGAGCTCTGCTGCTCATGGAAGTGTGTAGTCAAGTGCGGCGGAAGATCATGGCGCGTAAACACCACACTAGTTTGGGAGATCCCTCTCCCGCGCGCGTGTGTTGTTCCCTGTTCTGGCCTTCGCCTCACGCCCGCATCTCCGTCTAGGGATTGCAATCATGGCTAGTGGATAAGCCTCGTGGCTATGTCTAAATCTGCCTTGCACACGTTTTTGGAATGACACAAGGCGTTTGATCGAGTCCTTCATTGGTGGTACCCTGGCCAAACTTCAACAAGTGCCGAGACAAAGTACTTTGCCATGGCCTAGGTGATCCCGCTAGCCGGGTATCGGTTGTAGAGATAGTTGATGTAACACCACTTTTCAAAGTACCCTGCCAACTGAATTAGTAGATTTAATCCCACATCCAGCCTTTTCGCCGCCTAACATATCCGAAAGAGCATGGCTTACCAGTTTCCCCTCTGCCAAGCAACGGGTAATTTATCCTTTTCCTGAGGAAGCACAATCTTCAGACTTCATGCATAGCTTCGCCTCGAAGGAATCGGCTCAAAATTTCTGACAATTCCTTGGCGACTGTACTCGGTGTACACTAACCGACCAATTGAACCCCCACATCTGGCTGTTGCTCCGCCACCTCCTTCCCCACGCTCGTCATTGCAGAACAGCCTTGCGTCGAGTCACCACGGGCCAGATCCTGATCGAATTCGTTCGGCGTCGTTGATGGGCGCCTGAGAACCGAGTACGTTAGGCAACGATATAAGAAGCTTGGACAGAAACAACGAATGCGCGGTATGCGCAGCAAAGACGTCTTAGCGGTTTGCCAAATGGAATAGAGCGTCGAGAAAAAGTCTCAAGATAAAAAAGTGTAGAAGATCTGAATGCGTATCGACGAAGGAAGTTCTCAGCACCGGGCCCTCCAGATAGGTGACCCATGCAGCGTCCCTAGAAAGAGTTCAGATGCGCCAACATGACTAAAAACCCCATGATGCCTTCTTTCAACGCCAACGATGCAACTCGGTCGCATGGCCTTCCTCGGTCATAGTGATATACAACCCACGAAACCCGACCCGACCTGGGTATACTGCCTGAAGTCTAATCCTACGACGCCGGTTACACCGAATGCCAACAATGCAGCCCGAATGGGGTAGAAGAGTAACAAGAGAGAGCTTTGTGCGATCAGACTTCGAGACCGCCAACCATGTAGAACAGCAGATAGGCTTCAGCAGCAAGAACCTCCGCTTCACTCGCGAGCACAACCTTGCTGTCATCAAACATGAACCAGTCGTTGCCTTCGCGAGAGTAGCTGACATAGTGTCCTGAGTCTATCTTGCCTTTATGCACAATGACCGAAGACAATTCGTACACTAGACTGTTCGCAGGCGTATTGGTATTGTAATTCGTGGGCGGTGCTCCCGTCGACTTCATGGACTTTTTGAGTAATTGTTGGTGCGAGGTAGTGTACGGATTGATGTCGAGTCTTGTGGGGAAGCTGACGCGAGTTTCGATCTTCGAAGAGGTGGCTTTGGCGTGTTCGAAGCGCTGTGGGTTGTTAGCAATGGCTCAGTACCATACACAAGTACTTGCCTTGAGATGCACAGCGAGGACCGGCGGTAGTCGCTTGATACTCAATTGCTTGGTCGCATTCTGCGGGCTGTCGCAATTCCGGCATGTGTACTCTGCTGAGCCTAACTTTTCCCTCGCCGTGAACCTCTCGAGGCAGTCTCTGAGGTCTAGTGGCGTCTCCTCGCCTTTATCCGCATTGTGCTTGCGCTTTTTCGACTGGTTCCTTATATCAAGACTGAGGTCCATGTACGGGTCCTGCGCAGTTGTAACGTTACGACAGCTGTCGCAGGTGACGGTGCTCGATAGCTTGCCATAGAAGGTCTGGTGCACCACGCATTTGCAGTCGTCGGAGTCGCTGGAGCCGCCGTTGGCGAGGTGGAGTGTGTTCAGTATGAATTGCATGTATTCATGCGCGTCTTGTTGTTGGTAGCCTGCCAGCGCCTGTCCACATATTAGCGCGGAGAGACCTCTACTTATGCTGTGATTTCCGCTTACTTCTCCTGCCAGCCAACTTCCCATGAGCATGCTAACTGCGCCAAATCCCTCGTTCTTATCCGATGAATAAAACTCCACAAACATCTCGTCCAGCGCACAGCTGACACAGGCCTCCTTTTCACAATCTGTTTGGCGGTGCCCTTCCGATAGATAGAAGTTTCGTATGAAGGGATTGTGCACGAGTGTTTGTAGTATAACGCTCATGAAGCACGTCTGCCCCATGTTGTAGAGACCTCGCAAGCCAATTGCGCGACAAGGAAGGAAGGTGGAGTTGTTGACAATCAGCTTGACGTCGTCGGCGGTGGTCGTGTCTTCGAACTTCCGCTTCTTGCCTACAGGACGACAAATTAGCTGGCATGCAAGCATAATGGTGTGTATGACTGACCCTTCTGTAACCGTCTGATCTCCATGATGGGGTCGTAAATGAAGTCCTGGCAGTTACCGCAGTATACATTGCCGTCTCGTGACTCCACGGCTATGTGCTCGTCAGCTCTCAACTGTCGTGCAGGTATGCTGTCGTAACCCACAAAAGCAGTGAAACTTGGTATCGACGTGCTCGTCTCGGTCGGCCTCGGTCATGATAGCTGGACATTGTAGGCAAAGGTAGAGTGGCCGTAGCGAGACTACTGGTTCGTTGTCTGTTGTAGACTTGTACGTTTGAGCTATTACGCTCGGCTCTTCGTGGATTTTGCGCAGTATGACCTGGTACTGACCGAGAGTCTGCTTGCGCGCATTCTCAAACATTTCGCCCATGTGCTCTGTTGTAGGTCAGCTTAGTGCCTTAGTGCCTTCAGATGGGTCAGGGACATACCACATCCATAGGATATATGTGCCATCTGGCTACTCGGTACAATGTTGCCTTTAGCATTCTTAACGACCTTTGGCGACGCCAGCGACGTCGCCTTGGGGGCAACTGCAATAGTGTCCATGGTGTCGCGCGCAGGCTTTTCGACCTAGTACATGGCGCAGGGGCACAATTCAATCTCCAAATATCGCACCAGCAAGCCCGAGTGAAGAGACGTCAGACACGATCGCGCAGCGCGGTCAGGATGGCGGCGTTAGTCTGGGGTCCTCGGACCTGCATGAAGCCAATGATGGTGTTGGATGCAACGCGCCACTAGCGGAGGTCAGGCCCCACTTTTGTTCCGCAGCTAGCGCGAAAGGGGTATCGAGGGTAAAAGCATCAGCCCGACACGTACTGGATTGAAATTTGGGATTCTGGTGGGGTAAAAAGCTGTGGGCTTGAGTTGCCCTTGAGCAGGATACTGTTAAAGTGAGAGAATTGGGTGGTGCTGCTTGACTTATAGCTTTACTTTATATTTTACCACTTTTCCGAAGTCTCCATGAATCATATGAACTCACAAGACGTCGTGCCAGAGTGGTTAATGGGTATGACTCGAACCACTTTGTATTAGATATCATATGCCTTCGGGCGCGCAGGTTCGAATCCTGCCGGCGTCGAGGAAAATGATTTTTGCTTCCCCAAGGTGCCAGACACGATCTGGCTGAGTCTCTTTTTGCACATGACGGCAGATGGCATTACCCCGCTGGAGGAGACTTTATGTTGTACCATTCTCTACCTTGGACACATCTGTTACTCTCTATCTAGGTAGGTAACACTATTGTTCCACTCAACAGCAAAGAGTCTGCGGGTTTTCTTTTGGACCCCTATTTCGTGATCCTCCTCACTTCACAGCATTCAACCCGATAGCTGCCAGTCTCTTCGCAACAAGGTTGATAGATCCCTGACATCCACATCCACTGCAGTATCTCCGAGTTTTAAGCAGAGATCGGAACAAGAGCAGTAGAAACAGTACCGACTCGAGAGCGGATATTTGGCCACAACAGCGCTTCCACACGAAAGCCAATAATCGAGAATTCCGCCAGCTCAGCGTTCACAAGCCCAACACATGCTCAAAGCACCGCCTCGACCATCACCTCAACATCAGCCTTTAAGTTGGCGCCTGCTCAAGAGAAGACGTCTGCTCGAAGCCCCGCTTCGACTGCTGGCTCTACGATCGCCCCCAGGCAGACGACTAGCTTGACCTTCGCCCCAAGGCAGAAGACAACGCTGACTACTACGTTAACCACCGCCACCGCTTCTCGAGAAGACCTAGACCCCAACAACTCCACATCCTACGCTGATGCGGGCTTCACAGATCGAGGCAAGAAGAATGAGGATGAAGAGGAAAAGCATACCGAGTTTCTACCAGTTTCGAGGTCACAGCGGTGTCGCTTGACGAGCTTCTCAATCCTGGCGCGACTGCGGATGACGTTCTCCGCCAGACAGCCGATGTGCTACCACGGCTCGACATCGCCAATAATCCTGACGTCGCTGATTTCATCGCCAGACTCAAGGTTGCTGTAAATAATGCCCCTCCATTCACCATCCCTTCCCACAAGCCATCCCCTACAACGTGGGCATCTACTACGCCGCGCATGGATCAGTTCTGGGAGGAAGAAGTTGCCGCTGAGGCAGCTCTCGAGTTCGGCCCGCTACCTGTAAGGCTGTCCATGAAACCAGAACATTTTGTGAAACATGTAGGGTCTCCCGAAATGATCCTGATGCTCATCTCCTCGTACCCAACCCTCCATCCTGACAGCTCTGTCCACCTAGAGTACGGGACGAGTGACGATCTTGGTAACGAGTCGCAATTTCTACTCTTCTCAAAACTTGGGTATCACAAGGTCCGCCTTCGAAAACAGGGTATGCTACATGTCGTTGCATTTCCCCGTCGGCTAGAGAGGAAACAGTTCCTTGGTGGGGGCCAGTCGCTCCTCCGCAAGATCCCAGCAGCACTTCGCAATCAGTGGTTTGAGTCATCTGAAACCCTCATTGCTTGGGCACAGGCTTCAGTGAGCGTTTTCACCGGGCACACGGGAAAAGAGAGGTATCAGCACTACCTAAAGAAGTCAGGGAAGAAGTTCGAGGCGGTATGGTTGCAGGGTACCCCGCGGCATGCGGCCGAACTGCCGTGCGCCTGGCTCGAGTTCGCCGACGATGGGACAACAATCACACGGCTCACCGTGGGATCCTTCCATGGTAAGCGCATCGTACGTTATCGCGCCCATGTCCCCTCTGAGATCCAGACGAGTATCGCCTTTCGAGAACTACTACTAGGCTTTGCGACAACTATTTTGTTTGGAAGCCCACTTCTTCCAGCATATTTGTCCTCTATGAACTGGCATCGCAGCATCTCCAATGGGATCATCATACCTCTATCAGCATTCCAGGACTTCACGGTCATGAACGACACCCTCTCCGAATACTTTCGGCGTCCAATGCTCGGCCACAGCAAGATGGATAGGCTGTTCAAGAAGATGAAGTTGTGAAAAAAGAAGGGAGAGGCTATGCGCAAGATTCGGAAGGACAACATAATTGATCGACACGGGGCAGTTGGATATTGCCAGCGACCATAAGTCAAGGCGGAATATGGAGGATACATATGGACATATATTGCTACGGTGGAAATATACGACGCGCAGAGACTAGCAACGCATTTACGAGGTGGCGTTGTGTGGCACCTTCATCGAACCTGAGATCCGGGATCCTGGATCCTGAATATCGACAGTAGAGTTTGTCAACTGATGTCTTCCTGGCGGATATGTGGTATGCTGACATCCACCGGGATGTGATAGGTGGTCTTTCGGCCGTTCTTTGAGCGCGCCTTGCGACCGGGTGCGGTCTCCTCACACGTATCCCAGGGTGCTTTTCTTGCGATGTACCTCCCGGTACGAATCTCGTATATGGGGGCAGGGTCGAGTGACTGTGTCGTCTTGCATAAGCGGCACTACCGCATTAAATTCAAGCGATCACCAAGGGATTCGTCGGGGTCGCGGAACAGGTGTGCTCTCTTAGACTTGCTGCGCTTTGTTTCAATCCGAGTGACTTGTTGTTGCGCCATTTGAGTGCAACGGCCCTGTTCGAGAGACTCGTTGTACAATGTGCTGGCGTAGAGACGCGTGGTGGGATTGCTGGCTTTCCATAGTATCCAGGAATCTTTGCCCGCGCTGGGAAGGCTCTGGTGCATCGGCCGTGCGATCATGAGGCCTCGATGTGGTAGACGTACTTGTGGTATTCCGGGAGTATGATCTCTGGAAGTGCCTGCAGGATGGTGCCTAGGAGCTGCTCGCCCACATTCAAAACGAGACCGCCATCAGCCAAGCCATCCAGTAGCTGCCCAAGGTGTACAAATGTCGACTTGATGCCGGGCTGCTTCCAAGTGAAGTAATGGAGGGACTCCTCGGCTGTTGTGTAATGGCTTCTAGTCAATCAAGTAGCCTGATCGGCATCGGTGGCAACATCCACTTCTAAGGCCTGGGGTGGTACCTGAATATCCTCACAGATGATACGGATCCGACGTTCCATGCCTTGTATCCTGGACAATCGGTTGATGGTGACAAGAGGATTCGGTACCATAGCGGATGAACACTAGGAGTGTTTTGGGCCTTACGCTGTCAGCTCCGCTTCCTGCTGGTTGTCAAGCACATGGAGAAGCGCCGTATTGAAGTAGCTCCGCAACAAGCGAACGAGGCACATGACGTCGTAAGTTCGGAAGAAATCCACATAGCGCTCATTGATTGCATGCTTTTTCACCAATACCTCAAGGTAGGTCGTCAGACGGGAAGAGCTGGGCGAGTTGGCGGTGTCTGGCGGGGGTTTCGCAGGCGCAACCTCAACATCGGGTGACGGCAGATTTTGGCCATTCCATCTGCAGGAGGTAGGCGCGGCCGGGTCGAGATGTGGAAGGCACCATCGAAGCGCATGAGGAAGGCACACTCAAGACGCGTCGAGTCACTCGTTGGACAGCATTGTGTCACACATTGTTGCGGTGTCTCGAACGCGGTGCGCGTTCAGACTGCTGGTAGCCTTGAGAAACTGGTTTTCATTATCTGTGGTGCAATACTGCATGAGGGCGAGTTCAATTAGCAAGCGATGCATGTGAGGCGCTCATGTCGTAAAGATATGTCTTGTGTGAAGTTGTGGAAGAGCAGGCCCAGGTTGAAGCAGGGGGAAGATGCGACGAGTTGGCGTCTTGGCAATTTTGGGAGGGGTCCAGCAGTCCATCTAGCCGGAGGTAACAGCTAAGCGTGATCATTCAGCCTGGATGACCTCGCGGAGGATTTGAGTGATGTTTAGAATCCTGGAAATGTTGCAAACTATTCCAGCATATAGTAACGTAGGTTAAGTTTTCGAGAAAACGCTGCGAATCGCTTCAGGATACCATCTCAGTGTCAGGAGCGGCAGTACTTTGTACTAGGACTGCAACAAATCGCCATCAAATCGCACGGATGCCCCCAAATATGTCATATTCTCCTTATAGGTATGGTTTGCCTAGGTTTAATCTGACTTGAGCGCCTGCGGGCCTGATTCTTGGAGGCGACCTTAGAGAACTATAGTTTTTTTTCTACTGCTATAACGAGAGACTCGTTTAAGGCTTCCAAAACCTAGTTTCTATGACATTCCTCTAAGCTGTCGAAGAAGCACCTACGCAAAGTCTGCCTCTTCGAAGATACGTCCTGAAGGTGTACGCACACCTAAAATAATCTTTGTTTACCACCGCGTTGTCTTGTGAGACCCTCTAGAAGGACTTCGCAAAGAGAAGAGGCTACAAGGATTATGTTCATATCTTGTGATTTTGTGCGAACACGCTGTAAAAGCGGCATCTTAAACATTGCTCGTAATGCAAACTAAAGCAGAGAACTTGACTAGTTATAAAAGTCAGGAGGCATGTTAACACTATTCAAACATTGCGAACATATCTAGATAGCTACAATCAAATGCAATGCTTGTAAGATAACGATAGCAGAAGTTGTTGAAGCGAGTAGTGTGCGGTAAGCAAGTTATGGGTACTCTGCGCCTCCTATCCCGCCCCACACCAGAGCAAAAAGACACCCATCAAACATCACTCGCCATGATCAAACTTCAGCAAAAAAGAATTGATGTGTCAGACACTCTCCGACGGGGAATCGAACCCTTTTTGGCGTTAGAACACATATTCGCACGCTATATTGGATGTCACATACCCGGTCTTGATTATGTTAGCATTGTGTTCAAGATTATCCGATGTGCGAATCGAACTCACCTCCCGCGCTTGTTAAGCTATACAACTTTGACAAGCTACTTCCATTAGCTATGCACCATGACGCCTGAATCGTATGTACGAACCGGAAATCATGACCACTAGCTAGAAGATTGTAAGCATGTGACTGCTTGATAGCGGTGTAAGAGTTACTTACACCATCGAAGATTATTCGCATTTCGCTTAGGTAAGCGGATGGTGGTTGTTTGATGAAGGAATGGCGAATTTTTGGGACTATTAAGTTGGCAGTTAACGTGGACGGGGGAATTGCGAATGGGCAACATTGGCGTCATCGGGAGTTGTGGGAAGGTGGGAAGGTGGGAAGGTGGGGTTGGATGCGGGCATGGCATGTGATGGGTTGGCGAATCGGATGGGGGT